CATTCCTGCACACACTTCCCCTCATGCAGGAAGAATTCATCCATACATTCTACAAGGGATAGCAAACAACAGATAAGCAAACAGACAGCAAATTCTGACCTTTCTAAGTGAGAGAGTGAATAGATCCTGGGAAACCATAAATTCTGCATTGGTTGTCATAACAGAAGGCAAGAGGACAGCTTGAGAAGGTAGAACTTGCTTTTTCAACTCTTTTCCCTCCAAAACACTGATATTGGTCCTAGTCTCACATGGTATCTTCTGTGTTACATCAAGCGACTATGAAGCTAATTGACTGTTTCTGCTTTGCTGACATACGATATCTGCGTTATGAACTTCTTGCAAAATCATTAATGTCTCATGTTTTGTTTGGTTTACTATTAAAATATGAGTTTGGCTAAAATATATTGACCTGAATGTTTGTCTTTGCATAGAGATGTGAATCAGTTGCTATACTACTCTGTTTTTATGAGACCTCACCTGGAGTACTGCATAGAGTTCTGGTGTCCCCAACATACGAAGGACATGAAACTGTTGAAGCAAGTGCAGAGGAGGGCCATGACGTTGATAAGAGGACTGGAGCACCTCCACTATGAAGAGAGGCTCAGAAAGCTGGGGCTGTTTGGTATGGAGAAGAGAAGGTTGTGTGGAGACCTCATAGCAACCTTCCAGTACCTATCCAGGGGGCCTACAGAGAAGCCAGATAGAAACTGCAGTAATAGGACAAGGAATAATGGGTGTAAATTGAAAGAGGGAAAATTTAGATTCAATATGAGAGAAGTTTTTCAATGTGAAGGTGGTAAGACACAGGAACAGGCTGCCCAGGGAGGTTGTCAATATCCAACCCTGGCACTGTTCGAAGTCAGTTTGGATGGGGCCTTGAGCAACCTGGTCTAGTGGGAGGTGTCCCTGCCCACGGAAGAGCAGGTTGGGACTAGATGATCTCTAATGTCCATTCCAACCCCTTAACATATGGTCATACTTTCATTATGAGCACTTGGTCTCATAGCTTTGTTTATATTTTGAGGGGTTTTTAAATTTCATCGATGTTTATGTTTCTAGAATGGCTCACTCAATATTAACTGCACCGGAAATTTTGGGGCAGGGCATTCAGCCTCATCAGGATATCCAAGGCTTTCTTAATATGTTTCATTACAGAAATTTCTTTCTCTAACAGGGCTGGTCATTTGCAAAATTAGTAAAAAGATGTGAAGTTCAACCACATTAGGAAAGAAACATTCTGTATTTCACCGTAGTATAAATGCAGATGTTTAGAGATGCATACACTAGACCAGAAATAGCATCAAAGCAGTAGGAATCTGAAGAACAACAGAACAGCAAAACAATGCAAAATCTTTACAGATTAACTATTTAGACTGAGTCTTATCATAAAGCATGAATCGCTTTGCCTCTATCTTAGACATCAGCATAATATACATGTCTTTTTTTAATATATTTTTGCACATCACAGGATTTCAGCTCAGATCTGTGTTCCTCTCATTCTCTCTCCAGTCAGATCCAGGTGGATTTCAGCCAGGTTGAGACAAGTTCTTTGTAATACCTTTGCATATTTCATTGTGAATGCATTCCTGACACATTTCAGGGCAATGTTTGCAGATTCCTTCAGTAGCAAAATACTTCTTTGAACAGTTAGGTTTACATTGCCAGTCCTCGAGAAGCAAAGGACTTTTACAGGACAAGCATTTGGTTGCACTTTCTATGCATGTCTTACAGGATCCACTGCATTCCGTGCAAGTCTCAGAATCATTAAAATATCCCCTGTTGAATGAAAAACAAACACAAAGCAAACTGATGGTCAGTGTACAGGCTATAAGAGTGATGTCTCTAAATAAGACTTTTCCAGCACACACAGGTTTTTTTACACACAATTTGTTGACCATTCCTACTTAGATCACTTCTGTCTGCAAGCAGAAAATGCTCATGGTTGTACATTGCACACCCTATGAAGGGTGTCTGGCCTTCTTTATTTTTTTGTACCTACTCTCTAAGGGATATTGAATTTTCTTACTTCCTAGTTTCTTTATTTCCCCCTTAAATAAGATCTAAAATGTTTTGGAAAAAAAGATGCAATTTCTAATCTTGTTCAGCTGACCTGCAACAGCGATATCAGGGAAAGACAGAGAAGTAGTCCCTAGAGGGAAGAAAGACAAAAACCCTGGAAGTATATGAAGGCCAGGAAGAATAAGGCCTGAGACGGAAAACAAAAAAAAAATGGGAAAAAAAACCCCCAAAAACGATCCAACAATAGCAGGATGCTTACCTAGTACGTGCCCTCAGTGACAACAAGCTAGAGATGGTGAAGTGGGTGTATGTTTTACTGGTAACCTTGTTGTGGAGCAAATGTAGACAACTACAGTTGGAACTCTAAGTCACAACTAAAATACAGAAAAAAATTTCACTTTAGTTTCAGGAGTAATGGAACTAAAGGAGATGCTGGATGCAATCCAATCTTTCTAAACTCTCAAAACCAAAATGTTAGAAGGTTAAAGGACAAGCAAGTCAACATTTTGAGATGATTGCTAATCCATATGTATAAAGCCATTGATGAAAACTGAGGAATAAGTTGGGATTGAAAGTATTCAAAAAATAAGTATTTTATGTTAACAAGCTTGTTGTTCCCTGTAGATGTGCATGAAAGGCTAGGTAAAGCTAAACCTATAATTAATGAAATAATTTTGAATAAGGAGCTGGGGTGGAGACTCATATTTGTAACTATAGTTGTAAATTATGTTAGCCATATTTTTAACTTTGTAGCTGTAAATTTCTGCTCAAGGCCTGTCTGATACTTTTGCAAAAACTAAGCTCTTAGGAATTTTTAATGTCTGCACAAGTGAAAATATACTCTTTCAGTGTCTCTGCAAAGTGAAGAAGATAAGGGTAAGGCCAGAAGGGACTGGTAAGATACTTCTCTGAGAAACTGTGGCACCAATACCAGTTAGAACCTGCTCTGAGGTATAGAAAAATAAGCAGAAGGGGTGTGCATGTGCCCAACAGGAGAGGTCATACTGCAGAGAAGTGATAGACTACGGAACAACCACCAGGGGTCGCAGAGGGCCCTCAACGACCAACACCTCAATTAACCACACAGGTGCAAGGAGGGTGGGGATATGCTAATGATTCATAAGAGATCATTAGCATATATGCATGTGATCCTAGAAATCTAATGAATATGCATAATTTGTGAAAATAAAAATTGTCCCGTTTGGAGCTGGGGTGTGTATGTCAGGAGAAGCAATCCCCTACACACCTGGCACTGTCATTAAAGAAATGCTGGCTTAACAGTGTCATGCTGTCAGGTCACTTTCTTTAAACCAGATGTTTCTCCTTTCCTTCTTGCAGATGAATAAAGGCTGGGGATATGCATTAGGAGCAAGGATAGGAAAAAGGCAGGAAAAGCTCTGCCTGCCACCTATTCTCATCTTCTTTCTTCTCTCTTCTAACTTTGTCGAGGTCCTGCATCTATTTCTCACAGTCCTGTCATGTTCTCTTGTTCCAGTCTTGAGTACTCAGCCCCTTCTTTCAAAATTCGTGTCAGAAATTAACAGTGCAGTAAGTAAGCCATTTTTGTCCCTTACAGCAAGCCCCCAAACCCAAGCCAAACCAAACTAAACCAATCCAAAACCCTAAAAAAGGATTTCTCATGTAATCCTCTGCTCCAGTGGAGAGTAGTTATGTCTCAAGAAATTTGCTTCAGAGTCTGAAACTAGCATTTAAACCTGGTGAACTTTGCAGAATGATGGGAAGTCATTATTTAAACTCTAGAATTTGGGGAAAAAGGGAGATAATAGCATCTGAAAAGACTTGTGCTACATGAAAAGGTTTAATTTTATTATACTGACTCTGTGTGGGATAACTGGGAAATGAGTACTGACAACAATCATATTAATGTCAAAACATTATGTTTGCTTGTAAGCCACAGTCTCTGATATTAAAAGCTGTTTCTGGATTAGAGCAGGCTCTCGTGCAATTATTTATCATTTACTCTGACATTTGATGAAAAAAACCTCTTTCACTGGCCATCATTGATTTATTTGACAAAATTACCAGTAATGTAGTGGCAGAGAATTTGCACTGGTTGCAAGAAAGCAGGAACTGCACGTTTTTTTCTGAAGAAAAAGGTTAACTAAGCAAGAGCTTCATGCTGCATAGCACAAATTTTCTGTGTATATATAGGTGTGAAAAATGCTGGTGAAAGAAAAAAAGCACAGAAAAGGGAGAACCTGATGTACTTACATTTCTGATCTAATACCCATTGTAGTCAAATGGGAATCTTTCTTTCTGAATTTCATTACAGGAAAAAGTTAAGAATATGAGCCAAAGAGAGGAACACATCATTAAGCACACTATTTCCATATCAGAACTCTGATACACTCACTTTCTGAGTTCATAACCCTGCTCTGTTCTACCTTGAGGAAGGAACAAGTTAAGAGAATGCCTAGGTGCTTATTTTCACTTGACATAATAAAATATACTGAAGTACCATGATTTGTATTGAAGTCAATGGGGGCTATTCCCTCTGTCGTATGATTTCATGTCTTTTGATGTCACTTTCAATTTTTCACTTTTTCTCTATCCAAGAAAAAATGCTCTTTATTCAGGCAGGCTGAAAATTAATTTTACCTTGTGGCAGTTTCTAGTAACTTAGGTTACATCAAGGTCTTCTTTGAAAAATTTGTAATGCATCTGAACTTTAAAGAGAAGGAGCACAGTAAAAAAAAATAAGGATTCAATGGGCGTTACTTACTCAGGGCACTCCTGTAGACATCTGCCTTTGTGCAGGAAGAGTGGCTGATCCGTTTCAGCCTGACACCTCTGACAGTGCCAGTGGTCAGAGCAAGCCTCACAGCCCTCCCCGCACATCTCGCATTTTCCACTCGCAGTGTTGCCAAAAGTTTTCTCAGGGCACAGAGACACACAGTTATCATGGCTAAGAAATTTTCCTGGCAAAAGAGCAATCCAGATGGGTAAAGGCATCAATTAAGAATGTTTTAAAAAGGTTCGTAGCTCGTATGGCTATATAAAAAAGTTTTCAACTTCTCAAAATTCAGCTTTGATGCTTAAAAGCATGTATAAAACATTAATTAAGTAATTTCCCAAAGTATTTTGCTCAAGCTTCACTAAAATTTAACATTAAAAGGAATCATCTGGATTATGTAGTATGTCTTCCTGAATGAAGCATTTTTCAGTAATTCCTACATCATATCTACAACTTTTGATAGCAAGTAAAGGAACACCATCCTCCTGACAATTTTTTAACCCATATTGCCAAGGGCCTGATTTCAGCTGTTGATTACCTGATTTCCTGCCTATCCTTTAAGCTCTTAAGGAACTTTCTAGTGACCATTGGCAAAACATTTCCTGGAAGTATGTAGGAAACAGAATATTATAATCTCTTACAAAACTTATCCAAGGAAAACAAAGTCTTACCTTCAGGACATGTAGTACATATGTCCGCAGATTTCTCACAGGTCTTACATGAAGGGTCACAGGACAGAAATTTTCTTTTTGCATCTGTGATGAAAGGGAAAAAGTTCCATTTTTTTTACCATCTGCTTTTGTTAATTTCCCCTCCCTTTAGGAGGGACATTTCCTATGGCTTTTCCTAAACTGTTTTGAAAATGTACGTCTGTGAATTCAGAAAGTTGAAGAACTTAATGATTGTGTTCAGCTCCTCTCTCCTAAATGATATTAAGACTTGTATTAAATGAAAATGTAAAGATTCTCCTGATATTCACAGAGGCATTGTTCTGGACTGCTCATCACAAATGAGAACAAAAATAATAATGTTCCTAATTTTAATAATGAGCCAAATAATTTTGGCTTCAATGTAGTGCTTCATAATCAAATACAGATATGTAAGCCTAATAGATTGCAAACAGGAAGAGCTAGAAAGTATGTAAATTTGGGGACTTGGTTTAGTGAGGTATTTTCATGGACATTTTGAACCAGCTTGTTGCAGAACACCATTTATCTGCAAAGAGAAAATCTGAGTAGAAAGGAGAGATAAATAAGTGTTTGGAAAGAAGATATGTTAAAGTGCTCTTCCCAAAGGTGCTATCTACTATTTCCCTCCAAAAGGAAGTACCCAGTGTGTGTAAAATAGAATTTTTATGCCTGTGTAAGACCAAGATTTTGATTATGTTTTGCTTGACCATCATCTAAAATGGCAAGGAGATATGAGAATCTTATTTAATACAGGAAAAAAATCTGCTGTGCAATGTGACAGGTCACAGCAAGCAGCTCTGTATTTTGATCCAAGTAAATTATAATAATGGCTAAATGGATGTCTGATGAAAAATAATTATGAGCCAACAGACAGAAGACAGTAGTAATTTGATTTTGCTGAAAATAAAAAATAAAACAGAAGTTGGTTGCAGATTGAGCCATACACCTCAATTAGCACACCCTGCACATCCTGCCAAATATATATGCATGATTTCTCTAGGTAGATAGACTGACTGACAGTAATAATTAGTCACATGCAGCATATCACTACATTTTTTGTTCTGCCTGTTATGGCATGGCTGTTTAGAATATTGACATTTTGGATGAAAGTCATGAAAGCAAATGGTTAAAGTAAAAAGACAAGGGAGGAGAACAGGAAACTTATATAAAGCCCTTTCCCACAAGGGCCAGTGGTGTACATTTTACTAAGTAGAGATGCACTCAGTAGAAAAGTGTGTTTGTGTATAACATGGTACAGGGGCAGAAGAAGGAATATTGATAATTATAATTGCTTATAACCCTACTGCTAAATGAGCTGAGCCATAGATACCTCAGTGAAAGAAATTAGGTCTACATTCAACTTGACTGGGAGACAGTCCATAGCAGTATGTCATAACTACATCTCACTTATCATCAGCTCAAAACATACTAAAAACTTCCTGCACTAAAAAAAAGCAACCCTCTCAATATGCTGTCTGTGGCCAGAACAATAACAACTCAGGAGGGTCCAGGGACAGCACTTCAAAACCTGGATATTTAGCTGTAGGTCACTCAGCTAGGACAAGGCTCATCATTCTTTAACAGGACTACTTGTGAATGTTACTTATACAGGGTAGTGAAAGCCTGTGATTGTGGTAGTCTTGCTGGTAACAGGCACAATATAAAGACACTCCAGCTATAGCAGGTGATTAGGAGAGTTATTCTTGTCACTACCCTTCTGGCTACAGCTTCTCTCCAAAACAAGAGCCCAGTGCTTGCAGGGCCCAGGTACAGGTCATAGGAACCACAGGATAATGTATGTGACAGAAGAAAGCTGGATGCTGCCAAGATGAATATGGATTGTGACAGTCCAGACTGGAGACTGAGTTTGCCAAGTCTGAGGCCTATGGACAAATTTTTAGTCTCCTTTATACCCCTCAAGACAGCATATAGCTTTAGCATTGGTTTAATAGCCAGAAGTGTTGGTGGACATGGTGAGTCAGAGATCCACTAAGGACGGAGAGAGGTGGAAAGTATGGGATTCTAGTAAGTACTGCCTGAAAACAATTTCCAACCCCAAAGGTACAAAGGCCTTCTGGAGGTAAAAAGTGCCTGAAACTGAATTTTGAGATATGCAGCCTCAAGCACTGCAAAACCCCTGGGTCTGAGTACACAGGAAGTCTGTGTCACCTTTGTTATACAGTATTGGCTATAGCTAAACCAAAGTGGTATAGTATCAGGTAATCATCAGCGTGCAAAAATTAAGAAAAATATTGATGATGCCTCCAGTTGTTGCTTTGATAAACCTTCAGATTCATCAAGGCACAGTTCTGAATTTTCCATTGGAAGTATCATTGGCACTTTCCTAAATATTCAGTGAATAATTTTTTTTCCTTTCCAGCAGTTTTAATCCATTTGCCCTAACTTGGCTTATGTTTTGGTTGTTGGAGTTTTTTTTAAACCCCTTGTGGGTAGTTTTATGTACCATAATTTAAAACCAGTTCTGTATGTGAAGAAGCAAGCCAGAAATGTTACTGAAGTATGTCTTGCCATTTGGTGTAACATGAAAAAATAAAAAGCAAGAAGGTGAGGTTAAGCAAAGAAGTTGTTAAATATTGCTGAAGAATATTTAAACAAGCTCCTTGTTTCAAAATGTTTTAAGCTTTACAATTAAAAATAAAGATTTTTTTTTTTGTAAAACAGTTATTATTTCCATTTAATGTTTGCCCCTTTGCAACATGTGGTTTTTTTCTGTAACATTTACTAGTCGCCACCAGAGGGCAATATACACAAGCAATTGGGCTTCTAATAGTTGGCAAGGGAAACAACCTTTAGCTTCCAGTCAAATATAAGAGTTTTTAAATTCTGGATAAATAAAAAGAATTCTTCTCGTGACTAGAAATAGGCTTTAATTTACTAAAAAAAACCAAAGCCAAGATACACATAGTACAATGTGACTTTTTTAAATGTAATTTTCCTGCACAGCAAAATGTTCCCCAAATGGGTGAATGTGATGCAAGAGATTTCCTTACAGAAACCTGAGCACACTTCTTCCAATAATGTAACCAGAGCCTTTCAAAGAACAGCCTTCTAAACTTGAAAAATTGTCATGCAACATGTATTTCATAGGTATTTGGACTGATGATAAATGGAAAATTTGAAAATTACTGGGTTTAGCTGTTGGGTTGTATTTTCCTTTCCCCTAAAGGATTTGTGGTTCCAACAAGCTTTCTGTTAAAATTTCAGTCTCTAGCTCTTATGGTGACAAATAGAGCTTGTAAATATAGAAGCCGTTGGTCTATGACATAGCATTGTAAACCACTCATATGCCAATAGTATGACAACAGCTCTGAAAAAACATTGTGGTTTGTTACTATATTGTTCTGCTCTTCCTTTTTTAAAGGCCAAAATTAATGACCTTTACAGACATACTGAGATGTTTTTACCCTTACAATTATACTCTTTCTTTCCTTTTTTAATTTTTTTTTTCCTCAAAAGCAAAAGCCTCCTGTTTAACCTCCTCTCAGGTCAGAATCTGACTCAAGACCACCTTGATTCTTGTGTCTTTGTCTCAATGAGTAGCAACTTTGGCCCAGATAAGTATCTCCTATTCCTTTCTAGAGACTGGGAAACTGAGAAACTGAGTCTCACTATACTATCTTTTGAGCTAAGCTTTACTGCAGCTCTGAAGTTACCACAGTGCTCTTTCCCGGTCAGCCTATTCAAGGGATTATCAAACTGGAAGGGCAAGGGGAAGACTGGAAAATATTTTTTTCCCCATTTTCTTTTCTCATTTGGGGTTGTGCATCATGAATGAGACAATGGCAGTTTCTTAAAACCTAGGACTGTAAGACTTTCATTGTGACTCCAAAATGCATCAATGAAAAAGGTGAATGAAATTTTAGTTCCATTTAACACAATATTCCCCATATTTCCTTTCTTTTTGCCTAAGTCCTCTTCCTTTCAGATCTCAAAAATTTTCAAGATGATTTTAGAGAAAGATTAAGTGATCCTTAAAAATATTCACGATGAAAAACATGAGTCCATGTGGAAGTAAGTATGGTCCTCTTCACATGCTCACCACTTGTTCTGGTAAATGCAAAGTTTATTTAAAAAAACCAACATGAAACCCTTCACAAAACTGCAAACAGAGATCTAGCCATATCTAAAGGGGCATGCTTTTCAATATAAAAGCTTTTTAATTGCTGCATAGTGTCTCCTGAATTTCATTCAGATCCACGACTGTATTATAAAAGTTTTTTCCAGTATATACTCATCTTCTTTGTGCTGTCCACCTTGCTCTATCTGCCTGCTCCTTATGGACAATGGATCTTTATGACAGATAGTGCAAACAGCAAGTGTTCAGATTGATGAAAGATGGTTTGTTTCCTGCATTTTAAATATAATTTATTCGTGCTTTTCTATGAGCAAAAGGGGGACTTAAAAACTTGAATTTTTAAGTTGTTATCAAAGTAGGTCTATGTCTACATTTGTAATACCCTTAGCTTCTAGACACTACAAGGAGGGTATATTTACAGTATATTTTATTGTTGGACCATGGCACAATTATTAAAGTGAGGAATTGTGCCCATCCATTTTTGCAGATCAGGACAGAAATGCAGAAGGAAATAAAATGCCATGGCTGTTTGTTACTGCAAGCATATTCTTTTTAGAAGGTGACCTGTCTAGCTTTGACACTGTGTAGTGGGATGTGACTTGAATGTGATCTGGTTGAAATATGACTTAGTTTGTTAGATTTTATTGTGTGCATAGCACTGTCCTTGCAAAATTGATACTGTCATGAATAAAATCACATAAACATGTTGCATATCTCCATGGGGTAATTGCAATTACATGTAAAAGCATGGTAAAACTTGATGAAAACAATATACATATATAATAAAACACTAGACCTATCCCATTTTGAATACTTACTTGAACTGTAAATTTAACGAAACTATAGGAGTGCTGTGGAGTAAATCACACTTTCCAATAACCATTTATTCACAATCTAGCTATCTTGTAACAACTATAGTATTATTTTACAAACAAGTAGCTGGAATATGAAATTGGAATGCCTAAGAACATATGTGATAATGAATCATTTTTGCTTGCTTCTAGTAATATGAAATTTTACATATGGATGTTGCTTGATAAGATCTCCTACCTCTTCCCATATGCTCTAATTCTGCACTCTAAATACCACAACATTTTCACATTTAGGAGAGTATGACTTGTTCTCTCCTGCTGCTCCTTTCTCTTCTGTCTTCTGCACACCGCATTCCTTGGGCTTTTTTTTTATCTCTTCCATAATCTGCAAGATGCATATCTGTAGAGCTGCAGTAAGGTACTTCTAAATAATCTTTTTAAAGCCCAAAATATTTATTTCTCCCAACCAGTACATTTTTACTGATTTTATTTTGATCTGCATTTAGGAAAAGGGAAATATGCAGGATGGATGCAATTGGTCAATGGTTGATTGTGGGAGGTTGCTTTTATTATTGTGGATGGTATATAACAGTAAACTGAACCGGCTGCTATTTAGCTGTGTAATTTACTACAGCTTATTTTATGTAAAGAAGCACATATTCCATTTTGAATTTGCATCAGAAATAGACCTCCTTCCATACCCATTTTTCCTTTTGTACCTTTTATAAGAATGTAGGAGACTAAAATAAGGAATGAATTGCTTTTAGAGTCAACATTTTAGTGATCAGGCAAAATGAAGACCTCACTATAACTTGCAAGACATCTAATCCAGTTGAAAGGGTCTGTGTATTCACTTGGTGAATTAAACCTGCACTAACGTGTTTCCTGGCTTCCAAAGTAATTTCATCATCTGGTACATGAGTTAAAACACAGATGTTTCATGCTAAAGAGACAGAGTTCGTTTGTTGGTGGTTTTTTCCCTTTCTCCCTTTCTCACTTGCCCTGTCTTTTTAAAAACCTGAATAACAGACATGGTCTGTTGCATTAATTCAGACCTGAATATGACTTATTAGGGATATCTGACATAAGTTGAACTGTTTGCCCAGTAGAATATACTCTCAAAATAAATATCACATTAGAAAGATTTTTTGTATTAGAATGTTTTGGTTGTTGAAGTGCTTGCTCATAAAAATTCATACAACAGGTCTGTCATTTATCCTTGCATAAGAAATGGAGAAGAAAGCTTAAACATAGTAAAACCCAGTGTATTCCACATGCACAAACATTTTAATCCGCATGTAGATGGACTGGTCACTCAAACTACAAAGGAAGTCAGACTCTGTTGGTTTGTTCATGGCAGGCTCCAATGTACTGCCCTTTAATTTATGTTGTCATTGGAACCAAACAAAACAACAGTCTTTGTTTCCCAAAGCTCACATTGTTCCACATGGTATGTCAACACAGTCACTAAACCCACAGTGGAACCTCGAATCTCTATTAGTACATCTCTAAAGAAGAAAAGTAAATAGAAGAGTAACATGGTAAAACTTGATGTAAACTTAGACAGATTTGGAAATTCTGGCTATCTTCCTACTTGTGTTGTCTTCCTGCATTGTCTGGAGCGGGCCACATGCTGAGGATGAACTTGGTGCGATCTCATCTTCATTCCTGTGACAACGGTGAAGTTGTTTATATCATACTTGGCCCCCAAGCCCAGCTTAATCCCCCCAAATGGGAGGACTCATAGTCATCTAGCCTGTATTCTTTAATCAGATTCTTTAATTCAGGAAACTGCAAGTCAGAGGCTGTTCGACCACGGTGCTGCGCCTCAATGTGTTGAGGATGCTGAGTATCCAGTTGAAGAAGTGTGTCTTGATTAACAGACAGACAGGATAAGAGCCAAAATCCAAATCTCAGCCACAACCTTGCGCACACTGGTCTAGTGAATAAACATGAAAGTATTCTAATGTTCCCAGCAGCCTGGACAATCTTGTTGGACCATGCCTATGCTGCATGAGAGGCTACCCTTAGAAACTGAGTTTCATAACAGATGAGATGGCAGGTCCTTGTATTTTGCTAAGAAAAATAACCTTGGATAAAATAAAATTGTTTATAAAAAGCTAAAGATCAAAAAAAATTAAGTAGGAAGAAATATTTGTAGATTTGTCCAGAGTAACCAGTGAAAAACTTGGAAAAATGCTATGACTTTGCTCCCATGTATGAAAGAAAAACTATTTTCTCTGTCCCCATAGTCTTATTTGAAATAAGTAATGGAAAACAGAAAGCACTAACAGCTGTGCTTTAAAAAAGCTGGAGAGGGATCATTTGTTCTGGGCCCAGGGATGTTTTCTGTACAGACATGAGAGCCTCATTGACAATTGTTTTCAAGGAGCAGACAGGTTTTAATTTTGTCCAATCGTACTAATCCTACAGAATTATGTAGACAATGTCAGTGTCTTAGATTTTATTTGTTTTCAGATAGTTTTAGACAATGAAGAAAATAACTGTAACTGATGGGGAAACTCCTGGAGATCCTTTGGGGTTTGTTTAGTTTGTTTTTCTTGTTTGATTTTTGTTGTGTTTGGGGGTTTATTGGTTTGGTTGTTTTGTTTCATTTTGTTTTCCTTTTAAAATTATCCAAGTATTTCAAAATATTATCAGGATACAAAATGAACTGTAGTCTCTAACCAGGAACTACCCTATTGGTGTGATGCACCATGAGAGCTAAATGTGGGGAGTTTTTCCTGCCTGCTTGAATCCTTTGTATTTTGTTAACAATCTTTAGCATGAAACAAGAATTTCCGATATAGACAGTACATTTGGAAATCTGGACTCAGCTGACATCTGCTTCTTGATTACATCATCAAAAGAAATGAGTGAGTGATATTCTAGCCAAAAAAATCAACCATTTAGATTTCGTTGTTAATTAGACAATAGAAATGATTGTTATGAGAACTGGAGAATCCTAAAGTGTCTGGGCAAGAAATGTCACAAAACATTGGTAAGTGTAGTTATTAAGCGTGTAACTTCAGTAAAGACAGTGACAACTTCATTACCATTTTGACTTGAAGATCACTTGTATTTTGAAACCTGTCCTGGAGATAAAATGCTCATGATATTACAGAGTTCAACATGAGTTTCACAACAGTTGCATGGTACAGCAGCTGCCACAATGCAAGAATCATAGAATCATAGAATGTTAGGGGGTTGGAATGGACATTAGAGATCATCTAGTCCCACCCTGCTCTGCCCTGGGCAGGGACACCTCCCACTAGACCAGGTTGCTCAAGGCCCCATCCAAACTGATTTTGAACAGTGCCAGGGTTGGACATTGACAACCTCCCTAGGCAGCCTGTTCCTGTGTCTTACCACCTTCACATTGAAAAACTTCTTTCTAATATCTAATCTAAATTTTCCCTCTTTAAATTTACACCCATTATTCCTTGTCCTATTACTGCAGTTTCTAACAAAGAGTCCCTATCTGGCTTCCCTGTAGGCCCCCTGGATAGGTACTGGAAGGTTGCTATGAGGTCTCCACACAACCTTCTCTTCTCCATACTGAGCAACCCCAACTTTCTGAGCCACTCTTCATAGTTTAGGTGGAGTCCTCTTATCAACCTCATGGCCCTCCTCTGCGCTTGCTTCAACAGTTTCATGTTCTTCGTATGTTGGGGACAGCAGGATTCTATGCAGTACTTCAGGTGGTGTCTCATAAGAGCAGAGAGGGAGAATCACCTCCTTTGATCCACTCACCATGATCCTTTTGATGCAGCCCAGGATTTAGTTGGCTTTCTGACCTGTGAGCACACACTGCAGCTCATGCTGAGTTTTTCATCATCCCTAAGTCCTTCTCCACAAGGCTGCTCTCAATCACTTCTCCTTCCAGCCTATAGGTGTCTCTGGGATTGCCATCACCTTGCAATCCACTTGGTTGAACTTCATGAGGTTGGCGTCAGCCCACCTCTCAAGTCTGTCAAGGTTCCTCTTGCATCCCTTCACTCCAGCGTGGCAACTGAACCACACACCTTGGTGTCGTTAGCGAACTTGCTAAGGATGCACTCAATCCCCTTGTTCATGTCACCGACAAAGACATTGAACAATATCTGTCCCAGTGACAACCTCTGAGGCACACCATTCACCACCGTTGTCCATGTGGACAACCAATCATTGACCACAACACTCAATGCAGCCTTCTAACCAGTTCTTTATCCACCGAGTGGCTGATCCATCAAATCCATGTCTCTCCAATTTAGAGATGAGGATATCATACAATGTCTCTTGCTCTGCCCCTATCCACCAGTATTTTAGCCCCATCATAGAAGGTCACCAAATTTGCCAGGCACAACTTGCCCTTTGTGAATCCATTTTGATTGCTGTCAATCACCTCTGTGTTTTCCATGTGCCTTAGCATAATTTCCAGAAGAATCTGCTCCATGATCTTGATTGGCACAGATGTGAGACTGACTGTTCTGTAGTTCCTTGGATCTTCTGCTTTCCCTTTTTAAAAAATCAGGGTTATATTTCCCTTTTTCCTGTTCATGGGAATTTCACCCAACTGCCACAATTTTTCAGAAATGATGGACAGTGGCTTAGCAACCTTGTCTGAATCCCAGCAAGACTATACAAGAAAAGGTAAAGAGCCACGGGCTCCCCATCACATGCTTCAGCAAGAATCCTGTGACTTTAGAGCAGTAATTAATCTTCAGTGCAGTACAGCTCTGAAAGAGATCTATCTTGCAGTTTGAAATGCCCCTA